AATTTATTCTCAAATAACAGTTTGTTACATGAGACATGCCAGTTTACAGGCAAGATCAAATTGATACAAATGATACAATATACACTGTAATAAATTACATAGCTGGGTTGATAATATATAAGATATGAATGTCGATGGTTTAAATCAGTACCACAGTTGGCGCGCTTCATGAAAGTTGCGTTGCGAATGTGCGACTGATGGTCAAGGATAGGTCCATTGAAGGTATGGGCTTCTAAAAATCGCAACCTTATTTCCTTCTGGGATATCCAAGGCTTTAAGGATGGTGCAGGATGAAGTCACCAGTTCCATATCTCAAGGGGTCCTAAAGAGGGAGCAAGTAAAAGAAAACACGAGAGGCAGAGTAGCCAATATTCATGAAAGAATGCTTAAGGTATGATTACTCAGTCTAATTTTTTTTATCAGGGTATTTGTTAAGAAAGAGCATTTTAATAGGTTAAAGAAAATAAGTGTTAACAAGGTGTGAGTGGACATACAACTGACAAATGGAGGCGATTCGGAAAAGAGCTGAGAGTATAAGATTATGTGTGATTATAAAATAAAATATAGTGCTAGAAACAGTATTGTGATATACATTTGGCTGTCTTCCCTTTAATATCGAAGTTATTAGAGCCTCTTTCGTTTTTTTTTTAAATATTTTTCCCCCAGTTATTATAGGGTCTTGATTAGGCTTCGTATATTAGCGAATTGTCTAGTTTGCTTGTAATAGGATTTCTAGGTAGGAAGTGAAACCAATTCAACGTTCGTAACACGACTTAAAGAGGTATTTTGCGTGAATAGATCAGCTTCAATACCATAAGTTCGTGGCATCCCACTAAACCATAAGGAGCCGTAATTAAACAAAATGTTCTGCCCTACAGACATGGGTGGATTAAAGTTATCTCCCCACCTTCATGTTTGCTGGTCAGTAACGCCACCCTCCCTCCTTTTGTGATGTTAGGCTCTCTTACGTTTGTGGTAAGTATGAATACTGCTTTAATCAAAGCCCATAGTTGGAATACACTGTCTCTACTAGGTCCATGTTACAAGCAAATCAGATAGTTAAAAAAAATTTGTTTTATGGGTTAGATGTCCACATAGTATATCACACTGCTATGAAAATAACTAATGGTTTAAAGAAGTAAGGACTAATAGCAAATCAAAAGATATGAGAGGGTATAAAATCGTAGAAAAAAAATTTCAGGGTAAGACAAATAAAACATTGAGAAACTCACAAGACGTTGTGGCCAAATTTTGAACTTTGAATGGTCGGCCTTAGTAGATCAGCATTCATAAGATTGAGCTATCTGTCTACTTGCAGTGGAATAAATAAAAAAGGCATGACTTTTAGGAAGAATAATGTACATTTAACCTGTAGAGATTTGGGAACTGAAAGCTAGGGTTAGGAGCATGAAGTCATGATTAATAAACAATGAATAATAGGAAAGGATAAGCCATATGTTCTGTGATTTGGTTATATTCATATTAGTAACAGTCGGACTTGTTATAATTTTGTTCTTTCTAGATACTAGGCGGTCCGTAATAAAGTGCCTCATTGGTGGGCGGGAGTTCAAGGAAATGTTGAAGCTCTTTGGAGTCTAGAAATAGGGTTATTAGCCTTTTGAATCTGATAAACGTATCACAATTACGGATAGGCATTGGCAGCCTGTTCCACAATAAACTGTACCGTACTGTAAAGAACTTACAACGCATTTGTTTTTGGTGTTTTACGGTAAGTAGTGTATATGCGTTGTTTCTAAGTCTATAGGCTGGGTCGTGGGTAATAGTCGGGCAGGAGGTTAGAAAGGAGAGCCCATATATCGCTTTGTAGAGAAATATTAAATTGTTTTTTAGCGTACGGTGCCATAAAGGTTCTAAAGATAGATGCTTACATCTGTCTGTGTAATCAAGATTCGAGTTGCATCCTAGTAGTTGACGTGTGAAACGTCTTTGAACATCTTCTACTCTTATCTTGTCTGTGATATTCATATTAGAGAATACAAAAGAACAGTAAACACTTTAGAACCATGAGGTCGATTTAGGATATCCTCAGCCTCTACCGCCATGCACCTTTGCTTCAACAAACGGGAGTTTAATGTTAATCTATAGTCACCACAAATTTTAGGGGTCTTGCCGTCTGACATCAGTGGCGTAACGATAGGAGTACCCCATGCTAAAGACTGAATCGGCTAAATTCAGCTTTTTGCGCACAAATCGTTTAATTTCTTATGTACTGCTTCTCGAAACCATAAGGAATTATTCGTCTGTTGAGAAAGACTGGATCACCCTGTAGTTGGAGTTTTATAGGCTGAATTTTCACACCTCCACTGCACTTAGCACACATAGCTATCAAATCTTTGAGTAAAGCATCAGAATTTTCATCAAAATCTAGGTAAGACAACTCCACCTTAAGCTTTTTCAAATTCTTTAAACTCAGTATTGACAGTCCTGTTTCGCTAACTAAAATTTCACAAGGTATTTATTGTAGCGGCTAATAAATCCTCAAAATAAATAGCTCTGTAAGTTTTCGACAATGGATGCTGACCAAATTATTTTTAGTGGACTTTTCGTGACTTAAGTTAACCCTCGTGCTATTGATAGAAGAAACCAGACAAGTGGTGAATAGGTCTGTATTTCGATCTTAGTGCAGTCACAGTGGAGCGTGGGATTATCTGTTCAGACAAACAAACGCTTTCAACATTCAATATAAGATAATAGGGATGATAACACTTATACAAAATAAGGATGTGAATGAATACTTGAACAATACTGTTTTGGCATATGCTCGGTTGTTTGGCGTCAACTCTTAACCAACCAACCTATGCCTTTACAGACTCACCTAGGTGAATGCGCTCGGCCATGCATCCACACCAGTTCACGTGTGGGTACGCTGTGCTGGAATCGCTAGCCAGATTAGATCAGATAATTCCGATATATTGGCAATAGTCAAATACAACTTCTGATCTCCTCGATTCTGTCTTTTGATTTCTCTTGGTGGGTACGAGTTATATTAGGTTTTACTGATAAAAGCGTTGCCAAACACTGAATAACTGTGCTGTTTTCAGCATGAAGAATTATCATCTCTTATTAGCAATTCACAACATACTCGTTTGGGCAGTCTGTGTCCAGTAATCCCCAATATTGATACTTCAGTTGGTCTCACCAGAACATTAGGATTTAAAAATTTCAAGTTCTTGAATGAAATAGTGGACTCTATACTGCCTGTGTCCACAATAACGTCATGAAATGAACCAAGCAATGTATATAGTCGCTATTGAATATGAACATCACGAACATTTTGGTCATTTTGACAAACCATCCTAAGAAATTTCGCCCCTTCACGGCATTCAAAAGTAGTGCATTTTACATGATTTAATAATAGCTCCTTAAGAGTTGCATAAGGAAGTGAGATAGGTTTTTCTGGATATGCCAAAGTTTTTATTAAGCTGTACGCTTCTCTCCCAATGAATGTCAGGAAATGTGCCACAATTTTATCACCTTTAATATCTTTCTTAGTCATGCTCCAGATTTCAAACCTTTCCAAATAATCCTCAAAAGCTTCCGAAGTTGAATGAATATCTAACTCTGCCATGGAGACGACATTATTATAATTTGGAGTATTTTAAATATAGTACTAACTAATAATTACAGAAATAACGCAATTGAATCAAAAAGCACTAGATAAGCACAATCGAATATATTGTTTTTGGCATTTTAAATCAAGCATTCAACAAATGTAAAGGAATCTTTAGTTCATTCAAACACAACAAATATAAGATATAAGGAATACACAAAATGAGTTATGAAGCCTAGTTTAGTGCACGAAAGCCTGGTACAATAACAATCTCGATAATGCAATGAGAAGACGAAGATTATTAATGCTTGATATTCGGTGTTAAGATGTTTTATATGAAGGAAAAATAAAAGTTTCGATAGTGTAATAAGAAGACGAAGATTATCAGAACTGTGATATATTAGCGCAATACATTTCGAACAATCTGATCACACATATACTTGTTAAGAGCATTTATATATAAAAATAAAAGGTCAACTAGACAGGAAATGGGGTAAGAGGAGATATATCCCATAGTTCTGATAATCTTCGTCTTCTCATTGCATTATCAAAATTTATCAAAGGGACTAATTGTTTTAAATTTCTTAAAACAATAACAATCATAAGATAAACCTTTAAAACACACGAATGTAGTTACTTGTCAACGATTAAAGTCTTTCTTGTCAAACATCGAAGGTGATCCTGCCATAAATCGTGAAATACTCAACCTGGTCAGTCGGTTACAACCAGGCTCAATGAATGAATGTCGTGAACTTCACAGCAAATGTAACATATGGACTTAACTTAGGAATTACAGATCACTACCATACAATAAATTAATAGAAATTTGTAATGCACATATAGAGGAATTTTCAGACACATATATTACACCTGTGTACACTCCAATATATGTTGAAGTCGCCTGCCATTTTAAGTAAACCAGCTGTCCAAAGGTTAAACGTTCGCATGTATTCAGTTATCCTGGTTTATTTCATGAAGCACTATTATGTGTCAACCACCTATCTTTCAAATACTAAGGTCCAGTGCTATCGGGTGACACCATTATTAGTTGTGGTTAAATTAAACTAAGTTTTATAATGAAATTTTAGACTTGGGACAGCGTTCACACAACTGTGCTTAATTTGGCTAGGGTTACAATCGATGACATCCAGTATCGCTCAGGATCTGTTGGCAGCTTCCTCATAGCTCCTATTTTCTTGCCGTATACATGAGGACACAAATTTGTTCAGTTTATGCACTTCCCCTTCAGTGGAAATCGAGAGACAGTAAAGTGATGACAACTATCTCAGGTAGTTATTTCAAAGTAGAATTAAATCCTAATGAAAACATTAACTCTACAAACTGATATACACTGACTGACTTACTGCTGTTATGTCCAAAAATGTTAAATTGAGCGACGTCATTTGTTTTAATTTTTCAGCTTCAAAGTGTAGTCAATAGCAAACTTTAAGACAGATTTAAATTAAATAAAATCATGAGAAACGAATCGTCCAAATTATGCATTTGCCAAATATGTAATTGTGGGCAAGTTATATTGTGATAATCCTACATTGCACTTAATATTTTATCGAACTTTTCAAACAATCACTAAGTCTTCTTCTATTCGTATTTTCTATGTTTTCGAGATATTAATTAATTATTCATCTAATGTCAACCCACATTCTGCTTTGAAGCAATCGTTAGGCATAAAAGTGTATATGCATGTTATATGTACGATGCATGTCTTTTTTAGGTGTTACAGTTTCGGTAGATTGTGATAATTATCAAAATGTGGTGTAAAATAGTGTATGGCCTCGGGTTCTCACCACATTTGTGTTGAGAAACATTTCATTCATAGTCTTTATATGCCTATTTTATCTCTAGAGGAACTTTGGTTGAAATGTAAAGGCCTATCAAAAACTTATTTTTAGCACCATTTTCTCAAAGATAAGAACTTTTTTATGCAGGTCTACATTGAAACCAGTCGTTTTTCTAATAATTCAGAACTAGGAAAGTTATTTTTTTTATTTTTTTGATAACTTAAATTTTTCTTGTGTACTTGTTTATTGTCAAAGTAATAAAACTAAACCTCGAAGCAAATATGTAACTTTGATATTAGACCAATATTTAGATTCGCTTTGGCAAAACATGGACATCGCAGACTTTTAAGTTTTTAGAAACAACTCCAACTAACTTTTCATAGCCGCCATAAATCTAACAGTCTTATGGTGATATTTCAAATTTAAGTAGTATTTTCTGTGCTCTGTTATAAAAAATATGGATTCAAATGAAGTTGTTGCAAATCTCTTATCGCATCCGTAAAGGTATCTTGAAACCAAAACTTAATATGAACACAGTAAACTAGAATTAAAAAAACTATGAAACGAAAAGTAGCAATGTAATTTTAACCGGTTTTGGAGTAGTCCATAATTGTGTTTATACAATAGAAAGACATCTACCTTTTTGGAGGGCTATATACTAATTTTTAGATAACAAAACGGGCATCTGTAGAGGAAGGTGCTGAGTTTGAGCTCCGATGTGAACATCAACAATTTAATACAGGCAATTTCAGATGACAAGTCTCAAATGGAAAGAAACGTGCGTCCTGAATTCTATGGTTAGTTTCACATATCCTTACCTCAGTACTTATAACTTGATGATCATGCAAAGACAATACTTATAAAATGCTCATATATCAAGGACGAGTGATCAGAATTCAGTTTTTGCCATCAACAACAGAAAAATTCAAATATTTACAGACAAATATTCTGCCGACTGATTCGAACTACGTAAGAAAGCTTTCGGCCTAGATGTTGTTTTACTTAACAAGTAGTCAGCAAAACCGATGTTCAATCTTGATAAAACTAGGGCAAAATATGAGAATCAAACTCGAGTCGACTAGTGTGGTATACGGAAACATTGTTATCAGGTTAATTGAAATAAAACGGTCCTCATTTCAGATTCAGGTTTTCCTACCGGTTTCTCAGTAGGTACTTTCAGGTTTTTTAGACCTAATTACACCTCAGTATCGTGCCAATTGGCTAAGTGACTGAACTGAATTTAGTTAATAAAATTTGACTGTCGTCAGGAGCTGGACGATGTAACATTGGTTATTACTCACTGGTCGACAAATATAACATAAAACCATCAATTCTTAGTTCGGATTAACTTAATTTTGTGAGTGCATCAGATAATTTTTTACTGTAAAACTACAACAAACATCTGTTAAATTTATTGACAACAAAGGTTAACGTTTTACTTGGTTGTATGTATAAATCTAGTAAAACTGCAATGTATTATAAAACAAGTTAGTTATTGGTTGGAAAAACAAATTTCGTTTTTAAACGTAAGGACATGGTGAAACGTTATCAACTTATTGAGTAATAGTTCAGTCTAATAAAATAAACTGTTGTCTTGTGCAATCAGCCACTTCAAGCACTACTTCTAAATACTCGAAGTTAGTTGGTATCGATAAATTTTAATATCCTATGATAGAATGCTTATAATTAACATTTAAAAGTATTTATTAAATGACGAGTTGTAAAGTTGGGAAATTCAAATGGGGAAATAAAATGAACTTTTGTCTGATATAATAAAACCCAAAACAAGTCTAGAATATCCCCTCAATTGAAGGATATCGAAATGTTTGACTTGGTTTTAACTGAATTACTACGCTTATATGTGTTTGAATATCTGACTAAACTTTAGGCTTATTAGTTATGATATAAGCCCAAAAGCAATGACTGCAACCAATAGGCAATATAGCGCTCAAACAGCGCAAATAATTTAACAAATTATAAATTTCAGAATGTTCTTCATTGTGAACAGCTTTCTCCTTTGTTTTCCAATCGACCTGTTTTGTTATTTATGCTGTCTTGAATTATTACTTTTCTTAATAGCCATGTCAATTTTATTTTTCTCTATTGGTCTAAATAGTGCTTTTAAGTGAATACAAGTTTATTAAAGCAGTAAATTCTAGTGACCTCAAGAACAACTTTGAAACTTTTATGATGCACACCGACCAGTAAACGAAAACTGCTAATAATTATGAGAAAACTCATTATTTACAATGTTTTCACACAGGTTATTTCTTCTCGAAATTGATGATAGGTTTTGTTTCGAGATCGGCGTATTTTTAATATCAGAACCGCTTCATTAAAATACCGTGTTAGTTTCCTGACAAGCAATTTGTAGTACCATAAAAGACTTTATAAATTATGCCACTCAAGCTTCCACAACCTTTACCAGAACTCCACGAAGGTCGGTTAAATGATTATGTGCGACAACGATCCAGGAGTTGAATATACGGATATTTTGATATATTTAGACATATGTACGCCACGAACGTCCCAGATATTTACAACGTCACTATACTAGGTGGATGGAATTCCAGAAATTCCAGATGATTTTCAAAACCATAAATCTTATGTCAATCTACAACCAACAAACACATCGAGATAAATTCAGCTTGCCAATTTATACAGAAAAGATCTATCAATTACATATTCAGAGGTCCGTTAAACAAAATAGTCAATGAAAATGCAAAGACAGTAAACCGATTATAAGGTTATCAGGAAGAATTGATTTAGTGATAGTAGGACAGTTTACACAAAATTCACATATATTTGAAGTATGCATCCATTATACTTTCCTTAGCAATAATAAAATCTTTGCAATTTTAAGCCTCCTAACTCAGAGGATTCATTATACCACCAATAAAATAACACACCTTTTCTTATGAATACTAAGTATTTTATACACAAGTAAACTCTGAAATGCTACTCGCTAGATGTGTAATAGTATCAATGTATAAAAGTTTCCTTAGAAAAATCAAAATCCATTTACTCTGTTTTGATTGGTTGAGCGGTATAATATAGTCAAGATTTTTTGAAGGACAAATTATAATGTTACTTATTTATCATGTTAATCAACGATATTAAATTTAAGTGTTTTCCTATAATTAGTTTATATGGACTCATTGTAATACATTAATGATTGTTTTCCTTAAATATTTGGGCAACTATTGTATCGCTGTTTTGTTTACCAAATAAATAGCTGTTGTAAATTCAAAGTACAGTAAAATTATTTTATCTCTGTATTTTACTATTGTTTAATAGAATAATCTATTTTTGTCAGTTATATTGCAGTGTTAACTGGGTTAGTAGGTACAAAAAGGAAAATTATCTGTGAAACGAGATACTAACTTTAGCACATATACATATGGTGTTTGGCGAAAAGTTTTGTAAACATTAGTGATTATTAATTCACTTGATATTGTTTTTACTTGAATCTTCCCATTGATGTTTTAGGACTGAAATTGATCAGTCTCTTATTGGCATATGTGCATACTGTGCGTATGCCTCGATATTGTCTTAATTTACAAGCATTCTAAGCAAAGATGGATAGTGGCTAGCAGTGGAATGGAGGACGCGCGTTTCGTCCTGTTTGGGACTCGTCAGCTGGATGTACCTGCATCTCAGAGTGAACATCAACTCTGAGATGCAGGTACATCCAGCTGACGAGTCCCAAACAGGACGAAACGCGCGTCCTGGATTCCACTGCTAGCCACTATCCATCTTTGCTTATAATTAGTGATTATTGTTTTTACTTTTAGTGGTGGTATTGGCTGCATAGGAGTGTGACTGTGAAGCCTGAGGGACAACTGACTGAGGCCGGTCACTCATCGCCTGTATACAAGTAGTTTTTGATGTGTTAAATTCATACCTTAGCACATGTGACCGAAAACCGTGGAGAATGCCAGAATTTTTTATTTTTAGAGCCAACCTTTCTTAAGCCCCTCAAGATTCTATATGTCTGAAGGAAACGTCCTACTGCTACTACACTCGACCTTAGTCAAGAATACGACTTCATTGTCGCACCTTCAGTTTCCATTTTAATTATTATCATTTCACAACAGACCTATCTGGTATATTAAGACCTAAACTAACAGTTGTTGTGGCCAGTAAAACTCAACCGGGTCATCACGAGAGAAAAGGTCGATCATCGGGTTAGTATAGTAGTCACGGCCTTTTTCGCTTCTAGTGATACCACTACTGTTTCCGCCACTCCAGAGTTCTTTTGATGATTTCATCTTGCTATCCTCGTGTGGTGTTGAAGCGATATACATATGTATCAAGTTCAACGTTACCTATGACTACTTAAAGTTTTCAGTTTGGAAGATATTTTTCTCATGGCTAAACATCAGTCAGAGTACCATCAAAAATCAGTTAACGCTGAACAGCTACTTTAAAATTGAACTACCTTACAAAAACCTCTCGATTATTTAGCAGTTTTGTTTTGACTAGTGGACTAGTTTGAGACAAATTCCTGAATTTTTGGAGAGAAGTCAAAACTTATGTATTTTCAGTCATATTAACAGATGTGAAGCAGTCACCGACGAATTAAGTTAATTAATTGTTGTACTATATTGCTAACAAATTGGGTTTGAAAACGTTGATCAGTAAATGCCAATCTAATAGTCTAAATGGTTAAACATCAACTGGTAGATAATGAAACCCCTGATTTTTATCCTCGGTGGGATTATA